ACGAAACGTTTCATTAAAGAAGAACCCGTCCAGAAGACCTACACAATTTTTTTTCCTTTTGATTTTTTACCTGGATTACTGAGATGCATTAGGACATTTCAAAGTGTTACTACAATAAATGCCTCTGTCAGTGTGCCTCAGGGCAGCTGTGGCTACATGCAGTTTACCACCATCAGTTTATGAATGACTACAGTGTAAAGTGCTTTGGAGTCCTTGGACTTGATAAAGTGCTATACAAGTTCAGGCCATTTCTTATTTTTAACCAAATAATTTTAGAGGATAGATCAACAAAATAAACAATAAAGGAAAACACAATATAGAATTAAATACATCGTTCAAATTAAAAGCACTTCTGTTAAGTTACGAAGATTAACAACAAAAGTCATAGTAAACAACTTAATTGTTTCTCACATTGTGTCCTTATATTAAAACCGATGCTATAAAATTTGTAACTGAATGTATCTAGACTACTACAAGTGTTTGTTTACCAAAAGAAAGGGCCAAAGTGACTGAAAATAGAACAAACAACAAATTTACCAGTTTAACAGAAGTTGGACAAAAGATGCAAGTGTTTGATTGCTAAACCTCAATATTTATTCTTAACCGTTTCTTGATCTTTCACTTTTCTTTTGTGTTTGGCAGCAGGTTCACTCTTATATTTCAACCTTATGTAGGTTTTTTATTTTTTTTGGATTCATCTGAGTGTTTTGTTTACATGGAGTGTGGATCCTCATTTCAAAATTACATTAAATCTGGAAAAGTTTTGAGATAAACTTTTTCAAATTGCTTCATTTGACATCATTTATACATATTATTATGCTTTCTCTGAATGCTAGCTTGTTATATGCTTGATTTCATTCTTTGCAATGAGTAACTTTGATAAAAAAAGAAGTAAAACGTTTTATTAAAAAATGAACAAATAATGAGACATAAACAAATGACTACATTAAACAATATAATTGATTTTATTGTTGCATTTATCAACACGTTATTTTATTAGGCAATTAATTTTATTTTGTTGTTTTTAGTTTGGCAGATCTGATCTTCCATACATTTACAGGACGTGAGTATGTGTTGCATTCAAGGACTCATCGCATCGTTCCCCTCATGAAATATCTAGAAAAAACATATACATGAAACATAACTGCTGCACAAAGTGTTGAATTAAAAATTCATGTTAAAAGTAAATAAGCTTTTTTTAACTTAGCAAAACAAAATGTTTTTCAGAGATAAATATGTATTTTTAAAGTGAAATCTTACTAAATTATCATGGAATAAAAATGTGGTGTGGATCCCAAATTTTAAGATATTAAAATATTTATTTTAAAAAAACAGTACATTTCTGCATGACTTTAAACGCCACCGAATTACGGTGGAGCTCGAGTAAAAACTTTTTAAAAGTTTTCATGTGAGAGTCTTGTTTATTCCGACGACAAGTGAACGCAACAACAGACATACTTTCACGTTCCTTCAAACTGCGGAGTCAGTGGAGGAATTCAGGACCAACCTGAGCCAAGTTTACATACCTTGACACGAAGGAGGAGTTGCGAGGTCACGTCTTTCTCAACAAAGTTTAACAGTAAGTATTGACTGTCTTGATAAATATCTCTTAACGCTTTTATTCTCAGTTTGGGTGGTGTCGTTAGCTAGTTGACAGGGAAGCGGAACTAACCAGCCAGCAAGCTAGCAGCACGTTAGCTAAGTTGCTCCCACTGGGGATTTATTTACGATAACAACACTTGAACGTAACTTCTACATTTTGGACAATGTAAGTAAACTTAAGCGCATTGTTTCCCCCCCCATTTTAACTCTATATTAAGTTTAAAAAGTTTTTGACTTGAGCTCACAACTTTTGCCATGTTGGATGTGTTGTGACTTCCCTGGTGTAGACTGAGTTTGAATGCTTTTTCGGGTTGATAATTGTCTTTTTCAGCCGAAAGTCACCTGCTTCTCAGGTGTTCTCTGTGTTAGGAGTGTCCAGGTTGTTTTTAATTTGCTCCTGACGTACCGTTTTGTCAAGTGGTGGATACTGCATTGCTACCATTTAAATGTAGCAGCGGAAATGATATTAAAGAAACATTTGGGCCCAAATTGCATCACCTGTAAACCAAGAAAAATAAGGGTATAGTTTAGGTTTTGACTGTAAAAGATATGAACTTTATTTTTCCTCACAAGTCATATAATTCTAGTTTCTTTTCATAGCTTCCTAAAACAAATAGTGTTGTTCTTATTGAAAATAAGCTATAAGAAGCAAAATAGTTGGAAAAACTGGACATATAATAAGAAAGTGTTTGAGTTCAACGTGACTAGAATAAAAAAAGACGTCACCTCGCCAGCATTAAGATCTGGAAGAACAGGTTTGGGTCGAAGAACCAGAAATGTTTCCCTGTTGGGGAGTTCTTGTTTTTAACATTTCCTGTTGTTGTGATCTTTTTTACAACATGAATGTTTCCTAAAGATTTCTCTCTTTAGGTTTCCCACCTGTGAATTCATCTGCTGTCACATTTTTGTGTTGTTAGATATAATATAGTCCTTATCTAAACTGGACTGCAAGAAAACCAAAATGTTTTTTTTTTATTGTAAATTCAATATTTGTTTGGCCCAACTTTATCTTTTCTCATTTATGCAACAAGCAGTGTTGTATAAAGTACCACAGAGTGATACTTGATTAAAAGTACAAGTATCTTACCAAAAACTTACTTTGGTAAAAGTTAAAGTCTTCTTTAGGAATATTACTTGAGTAAAAGTACAAGTATCTTACCAAAAACTTACTTTGGTAAAAGTTAAAGTCTCCTTTAGGAATTTTACTTGAGTAAAAGTCTATTTTTTGTACTTAAGTATTAAAAGTAAAAGTATTGATTTAAAATGAGCAGTTAGATTTTCTGTAATGACATTTGTTAGGAGGTGACCTCCCCCAAAAATTGCAGAAATGACTATTAGGGGTGTAAGAAAATATTGATACACTGAAATATCGCAATATTTCATTTCCCGATACTGTATCAATATTCCAAAGCCCTGTATCGATTTTTAATTAAGTTTTAAAATGTCAACCTTCTTGCCAACTGTTCATTTTTATGTTGTAGTTCAGCCTCTGACCACTAGTTGGCAGCAGTGAGTCAGCCATTTGGCTTCTCTACCTCTTGAGCACCAGAGAGTAAGGGTAGCATTAGCATTGTAAGTAAACATTAGCTTTTCTTTTTATTTTTTCAGTAAGAGGTTTTTATTTAATAGAATTTTTAGACAAAAGAAATCGCAATATATCGCCTTGCTTACAGTATCGCAATATATCGGGATATATCGTATCGTGACCCCTCTGTTATGATATGTATCGTATCGCCAAATTCTTGCCAATACACAGCCCAGTGTGTTTACAGCTCCAAAACACAAGTCCAGTTGCTTCATCTTTTTACTTTTCATTAGTATGATAATAACGATGTCCAGCCTGGGTCACTGAGAGTATCAATCCTAAAGTTAGCTACTCGGTCGATACTTTTTTCCAGCTCGTTGTTTCGTTAAAAAAAAGCTTCACTGGAGCATCCCGGTCAGAGGCAGGTTCAGATATAAACACTGAACTAAAGAAGCAGGTCAGATAATTACTCAATCGGCTCTGATTAAACAACAACTTCAGATTCGATGTGTAATATGTAGCATCCATGCTAGCTCTGTAAACAAACAAGCCGGCTGATGAGACGTCACGTCTTTTACTGCGCATGCGTGTCACATCAGTGCTGTGTAGCGTTCACACAGGGGTCTGATGCAGGTCACATTTAAAATGTAATGTGAACGTTCACACAAAAAGATCGGATTTTTTCAAAAAATCAGAATTGAGCATTAAGACCTGCAGTGTGAACGTAGCCTTGACTAGAGTATGTGTAAATGTATTCACTGTTGTAAAGTCACAGTTCTGTCTTGTCACGTTCAGTAATCAACCAGAAAAAAGTGTTACCAAAAAGTGTGCTCTGCCACTTCAAAACTGCTGAGTCAACAACATAGTCCCCTGAACTATCTGCCAAATAAACTATTAATTTCCCATCAGGTTTTTTGTCCCTGCTGTGGGTTTGACAAGGAACCTGATGTCCAGAGAATATTTGCAAAACAGGAAAATGTCACTTGAACTTCACAGGAAACTGTTCTGACAAGAACGGAAGAAACAGGATAGTGAATTAAACTGTGCTTCCTCAGTGTTCTCAAAAATGTACGTTTGGAACCAAAGAAAAAAATAAAACTTTGTAGTGTTGTCAGCTTGCTTTCTCCCCCTGACTGTACAGATTTTCTGCTGTAAAAACCAAACAATATATCTTTGACGAGTTGGCTCTCGTGTTACCTTTAAGTGCAAACTCCTGTCTGAAATGGCTTTTACAGCAGCCGTTTTGTGTGTACTGTGATACTTGACATTATGAAGGTCACTGAATAGATGAAAATAGTCTGTCCTAATCTGCTATCATTATTCATTGTGTGATCAGAGTGATCATGTTAATACATAGTGCATGTTTCAAAAGGCACTGGCCTCAAAAACACAATGAAACCACACCTTTTACTGCAGAGTTCAGAGTGGTTCCTGAAAGAAGAAACCACCCATACAACTAAACATTTATCACGGTCCTCATATGAGTTTACACTGAAACGTTATTTTCAATGTTTGACCAAAATGACTGCAACTGTCACAAAAGATGATAACTCTAACAAGAAATGTGGCAGTGGAGGAATTTCTTTAAGAAATGCTTGGTTTTAATTAGGATCTGTATTACTATGCTTTATCTGAATCTTAGTAAAATGTGATCATATTTTGCATTGAATAAAACTAGGTTTAGAGAAGAAAACAGATTTTCATGGTTATAGTAATAATGACGAAACATAGCCAGTGTTTTGACTTCCTGCTTCAGTTAACAACTTTTTGAAGATGTGCTTACGCCTGCTTCTGTTTTACTGAGGTCAGTGTGTCTGAGTGTTTGAGCTCATATGACTGATCTGAGATCAGCAGCCAGATGTTGAGTCACTAAAGTGTAACGTAGAAACAATTTTGGACACTTTTGCAGAGGTTTCATGGTTTACACTGGGACTTCTCATGCACCAGTCAAGGAATCAAAGTTTGATCTGATTTGCATTTTAATTTCACCTCATCTAAGCTTGTTTTTATAGTGAACAACTGAGCAAATCTTTTTTCCCCTTTTTTCCCCCCAAAAAATAGGCATTTTATAGTGTCATAGTGTCAGATTTATTTAACAGATGTCTGCGAAGAAGGCAAAGCGCAAGTAGTCTCAACTTAAAATCATGTTTTAAGGCCTTGTTTCTGTGATAAATTGCACATCATGCAAACGTTCTGTTGTATTAAACACATTTCTTCTGCAATTTTAACAGCGCTTCACTGATTTGGCAGAAAATGTAAAAAAGTAGTGAATTTAAATGGCCTAATTTTCATCAGAATTTTACTTAATTTAGCAAATTTGTGACTTATGCTGGAAATTCCTGTAAATATTTACAGCAATATTAATAGTCAGGCAGATAGGATGCAATTTGGTTGATTTAAAGGGGACCTATTATGCAAAATTCACTTTTTAAAGTTTTTTTTACTCAACTTTGGGTATGTACTTCTTAAAAAACACAGCCCTAGGACCAAAAAAATGCACCCAGGGGCATATTTACTGTAAGTAAATGTATTTTTAATGTTTATTAATGACAAGTTTTATACTTCCTACATCTTTTGATGTCACAAGTCGTACGACAACCCACCGGAACCTGCGTTCAGCCCCTTACCTAGCAACCCCCTGGTGAAGCTCCACCTCCTCAGTATAAAAAGCCGTCACGGTTGTTGTTGTGTAATGCGCAGCTCGTTTCACAACAAGCCTCCAATAGGGCAATGGGTAGTATTGGACCAGAGAGTGAGAGACCGGGTTCAAGACCGACACGGACACAATTTAATTATTTATTTTCGTTCGTTATGAACACGTTTTCTCATGTACCTCTATTGTTTAGCTTTAGCCTATTTGTTCGAGTTTCTGAGGTATTTTGACTGTTGCTGTTCCCATTACTTGCCCTGGTAACCATGCAGAGTGAGCGCAGAGCTTCGACAGAGGAGGGGGAGAAAAAAAAAGCTGTGACCGACTCTGCCTCTGGGTCTGACTCAGGGTCTCATATACGGTTGTACAATGGAGCTTCTGCTATTACTAGCCATGCTAACGTAAACGCTGGCTTTAAAATGCGTTGTTTGGAGGGCGTTACCAACAGAGCTCATTAACATAAACAGCTCTTCTGAACAGAAGTCAGAGCAGGCAGAACTAGAAAATGGGAAAGTTTATTATCTGAGAATTATTTTGTGCATTAAATTGAATGAACATGGTCTGGATAGCCCACAGATATACCATAAAAATTTCTAGGACCCATAATTGGTCTCCTTTAAACAGAAAATTTCTCACTGCAAGATTATTCTTGATGCAAGTACCAGTATATATTTACACACTGCAAATAAGAGGGAACATGTTGGGTTTGGTACAAATGTATGTTGTGAATCACTCAGCTGGTAATATATATTGACTGAGTTATTACCATTTTATTTCACTTGGCTGTGGCAGCCATCATGATTCAGGTTAATTCCTAAAGTTTAAGATTTGTAGACGTACAATGAATGAAAATTTAGATCAAATACATCCAGAGTTTCATGGGATATCTTGCTAACAGATAAATAAATGAGCACATAAACAAAACACGTTTTGGCAGCATACAGTTAAAATATATTTGTGTAAAATGAAGGTAACAAAAACAACCAAGCAGCTATTATAGTCTAAAATAATGTGTAAAGTTAAACAAACAGAAGATGAGCTGACAGAGCAGAAAAATCCTGAATAGTTAACTTATTACACAGCGCACAGGGAGCCACCAAATTAAGACTAACACAGCACACAGCATTAGTTTGAATGTTTACATTTTCTTAACAAAATAAAAAAAATTCAGATTAATACATGTTACAGAATTTGATCAATGATATTACGCCTCCCAACAGCTCTGTTTGCACTCATCCAAAGCCTTCATTAATGATTTCTCTCAGCACAAAGATTTACACAGATTTGTTCATCACCTAAAAACATGCCGCCTCTTTGCTCACACCCTTCCTGTGCGGATCCAACTCGGCTTGAGTCTTCAGCATACGCGTGTGAGAAGGATGTAATAGTGGGATTAAGGAGCAAACATGTCGACATAATCCAACCAGGATTAAAAGAATACACATCACTTAATATTTACCTCAAATATAACCTTTTTCAGAATAAAGTCAGCAGAAAATTCTGTTTACATGGCACCGTCTTTCAGTTTTTAATCAGGTTCATAGAAAAATGTTGCTGTGTATTTAAACATATTTTCTCCAAAATGTCTATTTTTCTTTTTATTTTAGTTTTAGTTTATTTATTTCTTCATCATCAGTGATTTTTTTAAGTGAAGAGAAAATAGAGATGGAGAGAAAAACAGGGAGAAGTAATTAGAAAGATTGAAATAGCGATTAGAAGTATATTAAATATTCACCAACAAAACACAGGACCACACACCCAACATCTGTCTGCTCACCTGAAAAATAAATGGATAAATACATGGAGGGCATATATAAAAATATACATACCCATACATACTGTATATAAAGATATACATACATACATGCCTACATTCATAAATACTGTACTGTGAGTATATACACACAGACGTATATACACACTCAGTGACCAGTCAGAACCCCCCGGATCAGAGCACCTGTTTGTGAGCGGTTGTGAACATGCGTGTATATACAAGATTTCTCCAATGGAATATTTAATAGTGACTGTGGAGGATCGGAGACCCAACCCCCAAGACACGAGGCAGACATAGGGAAGACCAGAGCCCAAGGGCCCGAGAGGGATCCCGAGCGCAGAGCCCCAAGGGGCACCCGCACGGGAAGATCCGCCCACCCACCCCCCAGATCAGACCATAGGGGAGAACTGGGAGAGTTCCCCCCAGCGACCACACGTACAGTCCCCGGGGCCAGCAGCGACAAACTCATGGGCCCCACCGCCATACCAGAACAGATCCAGGAAAGGGCACAGAGGTTTGGGCCCCAAGGGTGCACCCCCTACAGGCCAAAGCCCAACAGGGCCAGAGGCCTCGAGCCCCAGCAGGCAGTCACCAGGCCAGGCCGGCATACGCCCCAGCACCCAGCCCCAGACCCCGGGAACCCCCAGCACGCCGGCAGCCAGCCGCACACCCCACCGGGGGGCCAAGTAGCAGTGGGCCCCCAGATAAACCAGCAGGAGGGGCAGCCCAGACTGCAGCCTGACAAATACCCAAACATACACAATCGCACAATACCACCCTCATCCTCACCCCCACTCAGTCAAAGACATACAAGGACGCCACATTCCACTCATACCCCCGATACACACTCTATAACCCCCAGGTCCAGGACATGCACCCACCCCCTATTGGAGGCAGCACACACCCAAACCCAGGAGGTAGACCCATTCATTCTGAGGTGGAGAGGATCAGATAGCCAAGGCCCGGCCTGGGCCGCACCAGGACTTATTACACGGCACATAGGGAGCCACCAAATTAAGACTAACACAGCACACATCGTTAGTTTGAATGTTTACATTTTCTTAACAAAGTAAAAAAAATTCGAGAGAAAAACACTATTGCCCCCCTTAAATACCCTTTCTCATAATTGGAGTCACCTGTGTATGGAGGTCAAGGGTCATTGAACTTACCAAACCAAATTTGAGTTCCAATAATTAGTTCTAAAGGTTTTGAAATCAATAAAATGAAAACAGTGCCCAAATTTATGCACCTGCCTAATTTTGTTAAACAATTATTGCACACTTTCTGTAAATCATATAAACTTCATTTCACTTCTCAAATATCACTGTTTGTCCCCTATATGATATATTTAACTGATATTTTTAATCTAAACAATCAATGATTTATAAAGGTAAATCAGGAAAATTCACAAGTGTGCCCAAACGTTTTCATATGACTGTATGTGTTTTTCACAGTTTGAATAACTAAGAATCTTTTTGTGCTGCTGATGAACCAGTCAGACATACTGCAAGCTCTTATATAACCTGATATTTAAAGACCCTACATTTGTTTGTGCTGTTATTAGGATGTTCAAATTGTAAAGTTAACACTGGACTGACTATTCTGGGGGTTTGAACAAGAGTGCCATTCTATTAGAATGGAAATATAGAGCATAAATAAGAATTTAAAGCATGTAGTTTTATAAATGTGATGCATACTTATGATTGTTTATATGAAAGAAAAACTTCCACAACTTATTTTATGACCATAAGATTTTCATTTGTAGCTGCAAATGACATGAGAATAAACGTTAAGTGAATTGTGACATTTTAAGATTTCTGACCAGTTAGTGTGTTTTTTTTTTGTTGCTCTTATCTTCTTAATAATTGATGCTCTAAAAAAAGAGACATCAATCAATAAATCATCCAGCCTGTTCACTGGCAGATATTGATGCTTGGTGGATATTTGTATCAACACACATATCAGCTGATATGTTGCGGGATGTTTTTGTGAAAATGGCAGAGGTCGGGTAAATTGTAGCTCATATAGCACTATTTCTATTGCAGTGTTTTGTTTTTCTTTTAGTTAATTACTCATTAAATGTTATGTTACTACTTTTGGAGTTCTTCCTTAATTGTCAAGTTTTATTGACCAATTTAAAATAAAAAGAAACATTTTCTGTTGATTTATGCAAAATGTAATTAACCAGTGGCTGTTTAAATCTACAAGATGCTATTTTCTGTTCAAGGATCATTTGTTTTTGATCGTCAGTCAAGAGTTTTGATGCCATCTGCTGGGATACTATTTACTGACTTGTGAACTCTGTCTTCGTTTCAGGCCGCAGAAAATTGAGCTCAGTGCCACAGGAGGAGCTGCCAAACAGGACGCCATCAACATGGAAGACATGAGTGTGGAGCAAATGGCTGCAAGAGCCAACCAAGTGACAGACGAGGTACACAAACGGTCTCTCTGACTATTATTCTGACATTTTCATTTCTCTCTGACCAGTTGTATAAAGTTTGTTGATTAATAAAATTCTGGAATCTGAAAATTATAAAGAGAAGCTGCAATAAATGTGGTTTCTGTATTTATGAACTTTTGATGGAAGCATATTCATGGCAAAACAATTAATACACCTATGGCAGCATGCATTGCAATCCATCTACCAGAGCTGAGAAGAAAAAAAAATACATCTTCTCATTGCAAATTCTGCTCTGGTTCTCCACATCAGATGTTAATCACGTTTAATTTAGGCCATGTCCCACATCTGGTAAAAATTTCATGCAAATTTGTCAGTGATTTTTTTTTAGTAATCCTGTAGACAAACCCTACCAAATGCATAACCCTCCTTGGCAGAGGTTGTCATCCACAAACAAGCAATCAGGACAAGTCTTTCATCTCAGAAGCAAATCACTTTTTTTTTCAAATGTAAATGCTTCAAATTTAATCCATCTGGAAAATATGAATATGCAATGCAGAAGTCTATCCTTTTTGAGAAGTACTTAGATAAATACACAAAGCATGGGCAAAAGAGATAGCTTGGCTTTATCTAATGGTGAAAATGTGTTTCTAAAGTGTACAAACCCTGACAAAGTTGGAATGTTGTGGAAAATAAAAAAACTGTGTGGGAATTTGCAAATGACATAAACCTGTATTTTATGCACATTGAAACATAGTAAACATGTCAAGTATTTAAACCAAGAAATGGTGCAAGTTTTAAGAGAAACATTAAGATGATTTTTAATTTGATCAATGCAACACAGTTCCACAATGTTGGGACAAGAGCAACAAAAGATTTTTGCTGTCTGTAGTACCTCTTATATCTGGTGTGCCTCAGGGCTCTTTATTTGGCCCTCTTCTCTCTGTACTTACTTCCTCTTGGATTTATTTTCAGGAAACGTGGCATCTCTTTTCATTTTTTTTTTACAGATGACGGTCAAATTGTTTTTCCCACAGAAACAGAAAAAAATAATATTCTGCAAACCAACTCTTGGAGTGCAGAAATCCAAGCATGGATGTCTGAACATTTTATACTTGAATAATCAAAGGGCAGAGGTAATGTTGGTTGGGTTCAATCATACCTCCTAAGTACATGCTGATCTTCAACACAATGTCTGACTGGGACATCATCAAACCTGCATGTGAGACAGGACAATGATATTATTACAATATACATTACAGTAACATGCAGGATCATTTTAGTAATTGTCTCTGGCCAGTTGGTGCACAGTTGTCAGTGAAAACGTCAGAACTTTAATGCAAATTCCAGCTAAAGTGGTTGGAAAACAAGAAATGTAGAGCATGGCTGCAGCCAGTAGATCATCAGAATATTGAAGGATTTTGCAGCCCACCACTCAAGCACCTTTGTGCTGTAAAGCGATGTAGTAACACCTGAAACATTTGACATGTATTTGTTGTGACTGAGACAGTTTTTTTCTTACTTGACTTCAACTGGTTCAAAATGCTTCTGCACATCTTTTAACGGATGCCAGAAAATTAGAGCACATGATCCGTTTTAGATTCACTACATTGGCTTTCAGTTTGTTTTTCACATTTTAAAGTTTGTTTTTTAATGTCTTCATTCAATTCAATCCAGTTAATTTATATAGTGCCAAGTCACAACAAACATCTCAGGGCACTGTACACAAAAAACAATAAATCTAAAGGAGCCAGCAGATTGTGTTGAATCTTCACTTTGTCACAGTCTCCCATCCCAAGCAGCACATTGGTGACAGTGCAGAGGAAAAACTCCCTTTTAACAGGAAGAAACCTCCAGCAGAACCAGGCTCAGAACAGGAGGAAATCTGCCGCTGTCTTAAAAGTAGACAGAGTGTCAGCCTCACGGACACAAACTGGAAGTTGGTTCCACAAGAGAGGAGCTTGATAACTSAAAGCTCTGCCTCCCATTCTTTTAGAAACTCGAGGAACCCCTAGTAAACCTGCAGTCTAAAAGTGAAGTGCTCTGTTAGGAAAGTATGGAACAATAAGATATTTGATATATGATGGAGCTTGGTTGTTGAGAGCTTTATAAGTTAGAAGTAAGATTATAACTGCTATTTTGAATTTGACAGGGAACCAGTGGAGAGAAACTAAAACTGGAGAAAAATGATCTCTCCTTCCAACTCTCATTAGAACTCTTAGCAGCAGCATTTTGGATTAACTGAAGACTTTTTAGAGCATTAATTGAATGCCCGGATAGTAGAGAATTACAGTAGTCTTTAAAAATAGTCACAGGTAGTTGTTTTCCTCCTTGCCTTTGTTTTTAATTAAACCTTAAACTTTAAGCTAAACTGAGGCAGCACAAGTATGCATGGTGGATCTGCACATGGATTCTGCTACTTCATGTCTGTTGACCAATAGAAGAGGAGCTGACCCAAGAAGGACCGCCCACCTTATTTATATAATAAGGTAGAAATGCATAAGAAAATGTAAAAACTGGAGACAGAGAAATGTAAAAACTTCACTGGAAATTAATTTTAAATTTCTGCTTCTATTTCTAATTATGTCAGATTCTGTCCTCTATATTTATTAATGAAGCATTTAAAAAGTAAAGAGGATTGGTCCAAACACTGAACCCTGAGGAACTCCATGACTAACTTTGTAAGAAGATTCATTATTAACATTAACAAACTGGAATCTGTCAATTAAATATGACAAACCATTTTAGGGCCCACAGTATTTGTCTGACATGTCCCTCATGCTCCAGCAGGATGGCAGATCTGTTACTGTTTTGTGTTGTTAAGATTTGGAAATCATGGCATTTTGTTTTTTATATACATTTTACACAATGTCCCAACTTTGCAGAATTGGGGTTGTAAAACTTAGTTTTACTGTCTGAAACAACAAATCAAAAGTGCCAAAAAATATTGTGGCATTAAAATATTTCAGTTTTGCCTCAGCAGTCTGAATTAGGAATAAACCTGTAAAAATAATGTTAGCAGGAGGCAAATTTTGACATGGATCAGGAGGGAAAAAATAGATAATTTGTGACTGTCTCCATTACAGCCCTGATGGAACCTTGGTGGGTAATTAAACTTAGATTGCATTCAGTGTCTGTTTATAGAGATAGTAGTTTTGGGACGTGTGTGAGAGTCGAAGCCTAATTTAGTCAGATTGCTCCCCTACCTGTCTGATTTTTTTCCCCAGTTTGAGTGTAGTCAGCTATGTCTGCTTTATTATCTTGAAGACTGTTTAATCAGCACTCCAGGGCGTCATATAATTAGCCATCTGACTCTGTAGACAAATTGATTTATTCTAGATGGACTTGTTTTTGTACATCTAAATCCTATAATTTCAATTGTGCTAAAATAATGTTGGTTTTAATAGTTTTAAATTCAATTTTTGCTCTTTTTTTATTGCCCTGCTTTTGTGCTCTTGTGCTTTCTGACTAATCCTTTAATTTTCCTTCTTCTTCTTCTTCTTCTTCTTCTTGCTTCTCCTGCTTCCTGGTTGATTTAGGAGATCATACAGGGCATAAGGGCATGGGAATGTCCCTCTGCTAAATCTACTTACCACTCTGGCTTTTGGTAACTGCTTATAAACACTCAGAATGCCTAGTTTTGCATCAGATTCAATTTTGTTTTAATAGAAGACTTGGTTGTAGGAAGAAACAGGAAGCCTGGACTCTTCAGTGTTAAAGTTAATTATATTATTTGGGTTTATTTAATTTTTAGTTTAATCCTGGTAAAGTCTTGTGCAAATTGTGCTTGTCTTTTTAAGTAGTCTAACAGATTTGTTCAAAAGTTACTCTTTTGAACAACAAGCCTATTTATTATAAACCCATGTTCCTGTTTGAGCCATCCCAAGATGCCTCACAATTCTCTCTAACTCAAAGGTTTGACACAGCACGACAATCTGGAAGCTTTGACAAAGACAGCTATTTCAGACATAATTGGCCAAGTTCAAAGATATTTGGAGCAATCACGTAATGTTCATTCATACAAGGGATTTTCTGGCCAAGTTAACAGAAACCTGGCTCTAAACACGTCTTTCACTCGCCAACTCATGTTTGTCTGTTTCTCTGCTCACTGATGAAGGTGTTCAGAGCAAATAAGAGAGAAAATGAGGAATCTAGTTCCTGCTCACTTGTTAACTAATCATTAGTGATGAGTCTGGCTCTACCTTGCTTCCTGTCTTTACTCACTCATTAATAATAAAAACACAAAAACTTTCACTCATCTGAACCGACTGCATTCTTGTTTATTATAAACACTGATCTGTGTGTGTGTTTGTGTTTTTGTCTGACATGATGACTGTTGAGCTGGAGAGATTAAATCTGTAGTGTGTATTTTTAACATGACTAAAATCAATGATGATCCAGAACACTTACAAAGGTTAACTTATGTTTCAGTGTATAAAAAGCCAATGTGCTAATACAAGACCATCAAGTTATTAAAATGGTGATTTGTCATTTTTCCAGGTTCAGCTGTTTGTTTCATACGGTGTATTAAAAGCCTAACACTTGAAGGAATGCCAAAGTAAATACTAGACATGGGTTTTTACGATGTAAAAACAAGTGTGCATTGCCATGTAGCATGTCATTGCAGCATGGCTTTGCCTGCAGCATTGGACTTGCAGAATGAACTTTGACCAAGTTCAAATATGTTTTCTATACCAGCTTGTGCCTGTCACGTCAGCAGGTGTTTGTAATTAAGGTAATTGAGTGACATTGTGAAGTTGGAAGAGATTTGTTGTTAAAGTTGCGTTAGCTGGGTTTTGAACCCTGATCTCCCACATGAAAGTCCATGACATAGACCATTAGACCAATGGAGTTTTGGCAGAAGGTGGTGGCAGGGGTTGGTTTGTATGTGTGCAGAAAGAGGCCACATTGCCAATGCAATTGTTGACACAGAAAGGCATAATATTACAACAATAGAGTAATATTAGGACAATATTTTAGTAAAACATCAAAACACAATCATATTAGTATTGTAATCACTGAACTACTGAGTTTAAATATTATTAAAACTATGGTTCAGTACTGAGTATATACAGCAAGGGGCAGTATTGGACCAATACCAGGCTCCATTGACTGGCATTATATGATTTTAAACATTAATATTTCAAAAAGTATAAGTTGTACAGGCACCAAAATGCATAGCCATCATTTGGCATAGGAGCTTTACAGATATAAATTACAATGGCAGCTCTAGGACAAAGTATGTAGGAGGAGAAGCGTGCCAAAGTGGAGATGACTTGGATGGGAAACGAATCACAATAGTGTGCATTGCATTGGCAATGCACACTGATAAATGAGTTATGAAGTCTGTGGTGAGATGTGGTATCCCTCAGAGCCTTTGTTGATAACAACTCAACTACCACACCAAATTTTAGCTCGATATTTAAAAGAATTGAGAGTTGTAGCCATTCTTGTTTTCAGAGGTCATTTGGCAGTGACAGCCATCTTGAATCAGATTGACCCCAAACAATAATAAGTTTTAGATGTTTAGCCAATGAATACTTTCTGAGTTTCATTAAATTCTGTCCAGTTGTTAGATTTTGTTAACATGACAAGTAAATTAACACAAATGCAGACATGGGCAAAAACATTATCACCCTTTTGCCTTCAGCAGCAGGCAATAATTATTCCTGTTGCTAAAATGGATGTTTGAAGAATGTGGAGAGAAAAAAGTAGTCCATCACTTATAAGTATATTTATCTGTCAGTTAGAAAACTACAAAAAGCAGCTGTTTTTCAAACAGAAGTTTGACCTAATAAAATGACTCATTTGGTTCCTCCAACAATCAATCTGAAATTCATTAAATCCAACTGAATTAGATAAAACTCAGTTTAAACATGGAATCTTCTTGGAATGCAAATTCCAGTTTCTCCTAAAATGTGTATACATCTATTTTCACAGAATGATTTTTTTAAATGTCCTTTTTTATTCAGTGATTAGAATCTATTTGAGCCTCTACTAAAATTTAACTACATTGTATCCAAAAAGGTCTTAGATCTCACTTCCGTTCAGATCAGTTTGTCTATATTTATTTTATTATTTTTTATTTAAAAATTTCTAATGTTAAAATTGTTTTTCCCCACCTTTTTTTTTAGCACCTAACACTTTCTTGTTTTTCCCTCCATAGTCTCTGGAAAGCACACGACGGATGTTACAGATGGCAGAGGAGGTGAGGACAAATGGCCTCATTTTAATCACCTGAAAGTGTTGAAAAACTTGACATCTACATTTAATGATTTTATCATGTTCAGCTCATAATAACATTAAAGATTATGAATCATAAATTAGATCAAAACATTGTTTCTAACAGTTAAGCATGAGAAAAGATTTATTTGGCTGTCAAACTTTGTTTTTCTTTTCAAATGATTCTAATTTGAAGTTGATTAAAATGCACTTTGTGTGAGTTTGTGTGTAAAAAATATAACATATTTTGTTTTGTTTTTTTCTAGAGCAAACAGACTGGTGCCAATACCATGGTGATGCTGGATCAACAGGGAGGTAAGGAAACAACAGATCAGCCATTTTTGTTATTTCCTACATAATTTTAGCAGCATTTATTCAGTAACATTATAAATATTTAAGTAAGCAGAGTTAACTTTGTTGCGTTTATAATTCAGTTGCTGAATTACGCAAAGCCAAACAACAATATTTTAAAAATCAAATTATTTCAGCCAGAAAGAATCCAAAAATATTATGGGAAACGATTAAGTCAGTGACAGGTGAAAGTAACAATAAAACATTTAATAACAATTCACAAATCTCAGTAAATGGACTTCTTGTTTCTGATCACGAAAAAATTGCTAACTTACAGCGGGTAAAATAAGGATTGAACACGTCACCATTTCTCTCAGTAAATATATTACTAT